CCCCTTCCATTTACTGTAGCTGTTCCAGCACATAGAAATGGCCTTTGCTGAACAGCTAGTAACACTAGGGGCTGCTGTTCACACTTCTATAGATAACGCACATAATGTTGGTGGTCTTTACTGAGTAATTCAATTTTCAGAAATAGAACAATATTTCATCCCCAGACACAGTACCTGTAGAATGTGTGTATTTGAAGTGTTGTTAGATTTAAATCATTATTATTGGTAACAGAGTAGAGTTTTATTACATTTGATGTGTTTTATCTCCTGTGTATCCTTCACATAGAAGGTCACGGCTGAAATCTCTCCAATATTTTACTTCTTGTTTTTCTGTAAAGTACCATTGAAAATTACTTTTTTTTTTTTTTTTGCTGAAAGATGACATTCAAAAATGTTTAGTGTGTGCATAAAAGATATTTATCTGGCATCATTATATAAAAAAAAAAAAAGTGCGTTTTAGACAAAATAATACATCAAGCAGCCTCCATGATGTTCACCTGTCAGTCACGGCTGCGATTCTTTGAATAAATTGTATGTAAGTGTAGCACTATCACTACTTTGTGAGGGAGGTAATTAGGCAGAAAAACGGGGAAGGTAGCAATCTTCAAATGTAAGTATTAGCGCTGCTTTAGATAGTAAAATAAACCCGCATACTATATACACATTGCTCACTTACCTCTATTTCTATACTTGACTCCTGACAAACCTGTAATCATCACTCCGCAAAATATTCCACAGATTTACTATAAAAAACCAAAGCAAAACAGCTTTTTTGGTGGTTCTCGTAGTGTTTTCAAGGCATTTCTTAAAGAAGAGGTTTTTCGTTTTTAAAGCTAAACGTTCATCAAGTCTCAAAACCTAAGAAAAATAGAATCCAGATTATTCCTTTGAATAAAATCTGAAGACCGGCTCCAGCTGACTGGAGGTCATTCAGTAAGCTGTAATTGCAGGAGTTTGCCTTTAATCTGGGTTGTATGAAGTCCCATGTTTAGGGTCTGTCGATAGGCTGATGTTTTTCACTTGCATTTGACTTCATTTGAAATGCTATTGAGATCAGTTGCAGTTCATTGACAGGTGCCTTTGAAGTACAGTTGACCTCCTTACAAAGATTTTATTGGGTTGTTTTGCATTGACATAGAAAGCAGTAAAGAAATGACAGTAAAGTACAGTCTAAAGCTGGCCATACGCTGATAGAATTTCATTCAAAAGTTTTTTGGGTTTTTTTTAAGAACACTTGTTCGATTTACTAATTATTATTGGGGTCAAATCAACGTACGTTTTCGACCGCAATGATGCGAAAGTTGAAGGAGCAGGATGGAAATGTTTTCTAGACAAATTTTGAATAATATATGTGGTTTTCCTTTAGGAAAGCTCGTCCATTCCAAGTGTCCTGAGAATTTTCATATACCGTATATACTCGAGTATAAGCCGACCCGAATATAAGCCGAGGTACCTAATTTTACCACAAAAAACTGGGAAAAACTATTGACTCGAGTATAAGCCCCATCATTAGTATCAGTGGGAGGAATAGTGCCCCATCATTGGTGTCAGTGGGAGGAATAGTGCCCCATCATTGGTGTCAGTGGGAGGAATAGTGCCCCATCATTGGTATCAGTGGGAGGAATAGTGCCCCATCATTGGTGTCAGTGGGAGGAATAGTGCCCCATCCCAGTGGGAGGAATATCATTGGTATCACTGGGAGGAATAGTGCCCCATCGTTGGTGTCAGTGGGAGGAATAATGCCCCATCATTAGTATCAGTGGGAGGAATAGTGCCCCATCATTGGTGTCAGTGGGAGGGTGCCCCATCGTTGGTGTCAGTGGGAGGAATAATGCCCCATCATTAGTATCAGTGACACCAATGATGCGGCACTATTCCTCCCACTGACACCAATGACACTTGCTGACCCCTGTTGCAGTATGGTGCTGCTGCAGCCAGCATATGTGGTTGCAGCAGCACCTCTGCACTGCACACTTACCGGCTTTTCCCTCACTCGATTTTCGCGGGTCCACTCGGCTCCGCCTCCTCGCCCGTGATTGGCCGCCTGTGTACCTTTCCTGAGCTACAGTTCTGGCGGCCAATCACCGGTGAGGAGGCGGAGCCGAGCGGCAGGAGGGAGGGAGTGGCCGGAGTGACGGAAGGAGCAGCGCTTCCTGGATGGATCATCGTGGGAGCCAGGTAAGAGACAGCAGCCCTCTGCCCACTCCTGTACGCGCCCCCCTCAATGGAGCCTCGCGCCCCCCCTGCAGACGTTGACTCGAGTATAAGCCGAGGGGGCCGTTTTTCAGCACAAAAAATGTGCTGAAAAACTCGGCTTATACTCGAGTATATACGGTAAATGTTCATAAGAATGTTTGTTTGCAAATAATCCAGTGTATGGCCAGCTTAAAGTGATTGTAAAGGCAATTACAAAAAAAAAAAATAAACATGTCATACTTCCCTACTCTGTGCAGTTGTTTTGCACAGGGCAGCCCTGATCCTCCTCTTCTTGGGTCCCCACCGGTGCTCCTGGCCCCTCTTTCCTGCCAAGTGCCCCTAGAGCAAGCCACTTGCTATGTGGGCACCAGAGCAGGCTCTCTCCTGAGCCACTGCTCTATGTGACCATACACACAGCCGTGGCTTGACTCTGCCACCTTCTCTCTCCTAATTTGTTCACTGGCTGTGATTGACAGTAGCGGGAGCCAATGGCTCTCGCTGCTGTCTCAGCCAGCGAGGAGAGAGAGAGACCCAAGGCTCACATGGACATCGCTGAATCGAGAGGGGCTCAGTTAAGTATTAGGGGGAGTTGGGGATGGAGGGGGTGCTGCACACAGAAATTTTTTTTACCTTCATGCATTCTTCAGCCTTTACAAACACTTTAAATTTGTACAGTGGAAACCACGGTACATAACCCATAAGACAATGACATATCAAAATGACAGCCTGGAATCTTCAGATCATGAGGCAATTCCTAAAATGGGTCTTAAACAGTGTGCATGTGATGCTTAAAGTAGAATTCGACCCTCTGCATTTTACAGATTAACACACTGAGCACAACAAAATAAACAATCCCCACTAAACTACTTGTTAAAATTCTTTACTTAGCAACTGCATTTTATATCTTTCAATGATGCTGGCTCCTGATCTCTCAGTGCTGCTTCCCTGAACTTCCTTTCTTCACAGGAAATCATTAACAGTGCAGTCTTCAGCCAGTTTGTTAGCTTGGAGGAGAGAGGAGCAGGAGTGCCTTGCCATCCTAAGGCTATAGGGCTGTGTGTTTTTATTGAGGTGCACTGTTTAGGGAGACACAGTTCCCAGCATGCAAGGGTAGCTCCACAGGATGCTGCAAGAGAAAGGAGCCACCCTGAAGAAAGACATCTGCTGCTATGGTCATGGCACCAGCTTTAACTGGAACATAGGCAAGGATTAAAATATTGAGAAGTTTCATAGTCAGTAAGTGATTAAATTAGCGTTCAAAGGTTTTGTCAGATTTCAAGGTACACAGAAGCCACCAGCACAAGGGATTCATGTTTATCAATGTAGATACCCTCCTTGATACTGATTTAAGGAAAAAAAATCACTAAACTTCATCTTTAAGATGATGTATTTATGGCCCTACAAATGGAAGTTATCAGTGACACACAAGTCAGATATTTGTAGATTGCTCATCTCTGTAGGCCAAAAACGCTATGTAGATTCCATAGGGTAGACAGAGAACCATGGAAGAAGAAAGTGGAGAAGTTGAGAGAATCAGAAGAAGAGAAACCAAGAACTTAAAAAGTAGGGAGGGACAAGGGGTAACCACTAGGGTGGGGTGCCACACAGTTCACCTCCTCCTAAGCTACATCCACCTGGTTTGAGCTGCTTTTGCTTAATGATTGACTAGCATGCAAAAACATAAATTCTGGCACAAACAAAATCTCATCAACAGAGGCTGAGGCCTGAGATGCCTTCACTTCGGAAAGGTGCGTTTGGCCTGCATTTGACCTTCTCAGAAATGGCATACACTTGCTTCAAGCTGCTTTTGCATTTCTTTGAATTGTATGGGGATAGAAATAGTTCTGATGTGAGCAAAAGCCTGCAGGCTTAAGAGCCACTCTGGCTGGCTTGCCTTAAGACCTGTGTTGATGGGTCTTTATTCCCCTTGTGTAATGCTGGTAATTTTCCTTAGGAAAAGAGGAAATTATATAGTGCAAGTACGATGTCCCTTTATAGCTGCAACAGTAGTAGTGATTGCTGTCTTATAATATGTGTATCATAAGCTTTGCATATGGGGGACAACAGTAATAGGAGAGAGTACACAGCACTGATTATTTGTTTTTCTTTGAACTTTGCTATTTGCATACAGATATATGGAAAATAAAGCAATTTGTAAATCCAGACAATTGCAATTCGTGATCTGTACAGGTTATATTAATCTGTATGTGTACAGTATTTTCAAGCAAGTCAGGAAAACATAAATAGTGAGGCTGATGAGTAATATTTGTAGACTTCTCAGAGCAGGAATTCTCATGCAGTTTTACTACTTTGCTTAACAGTGGTGGTTCTACATGTAAAGGTTTTCTTGCAAATTCCAGAAGTCAGATGATGGGACGCTTAGGTTGGCCATAGATGGATTGGTTTTTAATTCGGCCAGTGATCTGAATGGAAAAAAAAAGCTGATTCCTCCATCCACACAATTGAGGTGGACAAAGGCAACCTCCCATCTGTGACCTTGTGTTCTGACTCCTGAGGAGGACTCTCTGCTGTCAGAATACACTGATCCTATTGGCTGCAGCCGCTGAGAAAAATTCTCAAACAAGCCCGTTCAACAGAATCCCTGCTGAACCGTCCGAATTTCGATCCATCTGTGGCCAGCTTTATACTGGTAACGTTTGGTTTCTCATATTTACCTTTTAGGAGTTTGCAGGTTCTGGAATTGGACTGACATACTAGTGAATCCTCCTTTTGTCTGCTTTGTGTTTATTATCATTTTGATTTTACTTCCAGCACATTGAGTATCTGTGTATTTTATTTTCTAGAATAATAAACCTTTGTATTCGTTTGAAGACAATTCAGACTACGTGTATGACGTCATGTGGTCTCCCACTCATCCAGCATTGTTTGCTTGTGTGGACGGTGTAGGAAGACTGGACCTATGGAACCTCAACAATGATACAGAGGTGAGCGATAGATTTACAGGCGCTTGGCCAGCATCCCACGGGTATGATCATTTGAGGCTTTGTCTTTTTTTTACTTGTAAAATGAAAAAACAGTGGTGATCCATTTCTCTTGTGAAGACCATTACATAATTCGGGCAAAAAAACACAAACCTGTGAAGATAATTTTCAGAAATACTTGGTGGACTGTATAGATCGAATTTTTCATGTGTAATTCTTTTCTTTACTTTGGTGTTTACAGTATATAGTAAGCGCAGAGCCCCTATGGCACCTCTGTTTGGACCTAAATTACCGTGTTCCTCTTTCATGATCAGTCATAGCATGGACTTAGTACTTATGTTTGTTTTTGCTTTTTAAAAAAGTTGGGAAGCCTGGTAAATAATGAATGCCATGAATATATTACACCTCAAAAGGTATCCCCTATGCTGGTGTTAAAAAGGGAGCTGTACGGTGGAAGCTGTACCTAGAATAGGTAAGCATGAGACAAAGGACTAGTCACCAGTGTTGTATTCTTTATGGTCTCCTTGCAGCTGATCTTTACCACATTAATGATTTATCATGCTTCTTTCTGCATTGTTTGGAGGTGGCTATATTGGTAATGAAATAGGGTTTGCATCTTCATGTCATTGATCCCCCTCCTGAAGACTGGTGATGGACTATTCAAGAAGCAGCAGGAGAAGTGGAAGAAGCACAGATCAGCTGAGTGGATGGAGCAGAAAGATTCTCGCACTGTAGGTCTTTGTGCACAGCTTCCGTTCCAGCAAGGAGAACAATGAGCAGTACAGTAGTGACATCACCAAATGTTACATCAAATCCCGAGAGATTAGTAGTCAAGAGGCAGGAATGCCTTACATAATCGATCACTGATATGCAGTTTAAGACACAGGATGTGCACTGCTATTTTCCACTAGCAATTCCAGGCAAAATTTTCAGGGTACTGCGAAGGCTCAAATAACATTTATATGTCAACTTTATATGGGTGTGTATCAAACAGCCAAAGGGAAGCTTTTAGTCTAGTCATGTTTTTCAATGCTGACTGACTTTTCTTTTAAACAGGTACCAACAGCCAGCATCACTGTGGAAGGGAACCCAGCCCTTAATCGGGTCAGATGGACTCACTCCGGGAGGGAGATTGCTGTTGGAGACTCTGAAGGGCAAATCTTTATATATGATGTTGGAGAGGTGCGTTGGTCACTTTTTTTTTTTCTTTTTTTAAATAATTTTTAGTTGGTCATCATTGCTCCCATCTTCATATCACAAATAATAAGCAATGCCAGAAAGTGCACCACCAAAAATGACTTTTAGTATGGTCGGTTTGAAGTCTGGCATAGTTTGAAGGAAGACTTGCATTTTTCCAAGTGTAAAAGTACTTCTAAAGTTACACTTTTTCTGTGGAAAGCAGCCACTTCCAGCTGTCATTTTTTTAGTGCAGGAATTAGAAGGGCAGTTTTGGCACCTGTAGTGAACAAGTAAGAGGGGTATAATATACTAATCAAGAAGGGATGTAGGTGAATGTTTGCAGTGTGTTTTTGTTGGTTTTGTATACTTTTGAAATGTTTAACCACAGACAAGCAGTTTTGTGCTCTGGTCCTAAACAACCAGTAGTATACAGTGGGGCAAAAAAGTATTTAGTCAGCCACCAATTGTGCAAGTTCTCCCACTTAAAAAGATTATTATTATTATTATTACGAGTTTATATAGCGCCAAAGGGTTTGCTCAGCGCTGAACAAAAAAGATGAGAGAGGCCTGTAATTGGCATCATAGGTAGACCTCAACTATGAGAGACAAAATGAGAAAAAAAATCCAGACAATCACATTGGCTGATTTGGAAAGAATTTATTTGCAAATTATGGTGGAAAAATAAGTATTTGGTCAATATCAAAAGATCATCTCAATACTTTGTTATATATCTTTTGTTGGCAATGACAGAGGTCAAACGTTTCCTGTAAGTCTTCACAAGGTTGGCACACACTGTTGCTGGTATGTTGGCCCATTCCTCCATGCAGATCTCCTCTAGAGCAGTGATGTTTTGGGGGTGTCGCTGGGCAACACGGACTTTCAACTCCCTCCAAAGATTTTCTATGGGGTTGAGATCTGGAGACTGGCTAGGCCACTCCAGGACCTTGAAATGCTTCTTACAAAGTCACTACTTCGTTGCCCAGGCGGTATGTTTGGGATCATTGTCATGTTGGAAGAGCCAGCCACGTTTCATCTTCAATGCCCTTGCTGATGGAAGGAGGTTTGCACTCAAAATCTCACGATACATGGCCCCATTCATTCTGTCCTGTACATGGATCAGTCGTCCTGGTCCCTTTGCGGAGAAACAGCCCCAAAGCATGATGTTGCCACCCCCATGCTTCACAGTAGGTATGGTATCCTTGGATGCAACTCAGCATTCTCTCTCCTCCAAACACGACGAGTTGTGTTTTCTACCAAACAGTTCTATTTTGGTTTCATCTGACCATATGACATTCTCCCAATCCTCTTCTGGATCATCTAAATGCTCTCTAGCAAATTTCAGACGGGCCTGCACATGTACTGGCTTAAGCAGGGGGACACGTCTGGCACTGCAGGATCTGAGTCCCTGCGTTACTGATGATAGCCTTTGTTACGTTGGTCCCAGCTCTCTGCAGGTCATTCACTAGGTCCCCCCGTGTGGTCCTGGGATTTTTGCTCACCGTTCTTGTGATCATTGTGACCCCACGGGGTAAGATCTTGCGTGGAGCCCCAGATCGAGGGCGATTATCAGTGGTCTTGTATGTCTTCCATTTTCTAATTATTGCTCCCACAGTTGATTTGTTCACACCAAGCTGCTTGCCTATTGCAGATTCAGTCTTCCCAGCCTGGTGAAATGCAGGTCTACAATTTTGTTTCTGGTGTCCTTCGACAGCTCTTTGATCTTCACCATAGTGGAGTTTGGAGTGTGACTGTTTGAGGTTGTGGACAGGTGTCTTTTATACTGATAACAAGTTCAAACAGGTGCCATTGATACAGGTAATGAGTGCAGGACAGAGGAGCCTCTTATAGAAGAAGGTACAGGTCTGTGAGAGCCAGAAATCTTGCTTGTTTATAGGTGACCAAATACTTATTTTCCACCATCATTTTCAAATAAATTATTTCCAAATCAGCCAATGTGATTGTCTGGATTTTTTTTCTCATTTTGTCTCTCATAGTTGAGGTCTACCTATGATGCCAATTACAGGCCTCTCTCATCTTTTTAAGTGGGAGAACTTGCACAATTGGTGGCTGACTAAATACTTTTTTGCCCCACTGTACCATCACATTAATGCTTTCTTTGAGTTGAAGAGAACCTGTCCTTACCAACAGAGTGTATAAGATAAAATGATTGTATCTCCAACTGAGATTGAGCCCTGCCCCCCTGCCTGTACTAAGCTCCACCCCCTGTAGTTTAGCTGTCAAATGCCAGGGGCAAGGAGTCAATCCAATGTGGAGAGAAGTGGAGGTTCTGTGTACAGCCTTATCCACTCAAGGCACAAAAGAACTGCTTTGAAGGCAAGCACCTGTAACATACAGCAACCAATCATATTCTAATTTATTACAATTTGAGAACACAGAATGATTGCTCTGGATTATTGCATAAATCGTTCGTGCTCAGGAGTTACTGATATTTTTTCCATATTTTTTCCATTACAGCAAATTGCTGTTCCGCGGAATGATGAATGGACCCGCTTTGCCAGGACACTCGCTGAAATCAATGCCAACAGGGCCGATGCTGAAGAAGAAGCTGCCAACCGCATTCCTGGTTAAACTCCTTGCAAGTTTTGATAATGGAGCTCAACACTGACCTAACAATCCCTCCAGAGCACTAGCATGTGTCCATTGAAACGATAATGTCAGAAGAGTTATTTGGCTGGGATCTGTGGACTACAATGTTTTATAAACTTCATTGCAACCCAATGCAGCGTCCCTTTTTATTTATCTGTACGTACACACCCCTGACCTGCAATATCTAACAAGAGTACAGCTTTATTTACACTATTTGAAAAGCTGCTCAGTCATTTTCCACTTTTTAAAAACCAAATAACTTGCAAATATAAATCCTATTTTTTTCAGCGGAACTGGTTTCTCCTCTGCATCCCTAGGGCTGTGTGTGTTGAAGTGATTGCTGTAGTCCCAGCACACAAAATAACTGCATGCCATAGGACACTTCCTGTAGTTTTCATGTTAAAACCATTACTTAGTCTGCCATTTTATTAAACAAAAATGTTTCTAACTTGATATTTCCAATTATTGTATTGTTCTGTGTCAATATATAGTAAAATTCAATAGATTATTGTAATAAATTTGACTGGGAGTTTCTTCTGTATAGACATAATGGGGTTGATTTACTAAAGCTGAAGAGTGAAAAATCTGGTGCAGCTCTGCAGAAAACCCAATCGGCTCCCAGGTTGCTGAAGTTAGAAGCTGATTGGCTACCCCAAGATTGGTGTAATCAGATGCTTTACTAATTTTAAAACGGCGCTGTTTATATCCTGCGAAACGGAAATTATGAATTGCTCGTAGCTTCCAATCTCTTAGACCATAGAGATGATGGGGCAGGAAAGCCCAACAAAACCTTGGAAGGTGACAGGAGGGGTAGGGGAGTCCCTTCCTGCTTGTAGAAGAGATCCAGCGGATAATTAGTGGCTAGGATTGCTTTTACATGAAAGCCGACCGCCAGCTGAAAAGAAACGATACTAGGATGATGCCTGTAGCTGCAAGCATCATTCCGGTATAACCACTTAAAGTCCACCAACGTACCAGTACATTGCTGGTGCATTTTGGGCATATATGTAACAGCAGAGCAGAGAACATGGGCATATGTTGAATCGGGTCAGTGGACCAATATGACCGCAATTCATTCTTTTTTGTAATGCCCATGTTGAGGGTTAGGCCCAAAAAAGTTTTAAATTCAGAAACTGATAGGTTTCCATGTAAATTGTCTGGCAAGAGCTGAATTTGGGTGGGCGGCCATGTTTTGGTATGCGTATAAATTGCTTTGGCCCACAATCAATTGGTCAATTGGTACAAATCTTCCATGAAAAACAGCGGAGGGGCAAAACGCTAGTGCTGGCAGCGAACAGGGCTGATCCTGCTAACATTGCGTTTTTGGGGACACTATATAATGTTGCTAGTGGCAGTAATACAAAGATTAATGAAAAATTATGTATACTGAGATTGTACTAATGGCACTGGCTGGGTGCCAGGGATATCAAAGGGTTAATAGGATCAATCAAAGCGTTATATATGGTAATCTAATGTGTGCATGCAAAATGTAGTGCTTTTACTCAAAGCCCTGTTCGTTATTCTCTCCCTGGACGGCATAGGGGGCAGCGGGCACACCCGGAAATAGAGATGTAAGATTACGTTGCTTTGCGCAGAGCCACCGCTCGCCTATACATTGTTGGTGGGCGGGGTGGCAAAAAAAATATCTTTATTATTATTTTTTATTTAATAAAAAAAAATAAATACTTTCATTAGAGTTCTGCAGTGTTACCATAGTAACATTGTACTACACTAGGGGGGTGATCAGGGATTACACTTTGCATTGCAAGAGCAATGAAGATCATTGCTCTGCAATGCAAAGCTTGCTATGAACTGTCATGAATCTGTTAAGTTCACGACAGTTCAGTATAATAGTGATCTGTGATTGGCTCCAGCTGGTCACATAGCACAGGGAGTGTGATTGGCCCCATGTGTCATGTACCAATGTGTCATGGACCAATCACAGCTCTTCAAGAACAGAAACAAAGCTTTTATGAATCAGATTGATTCATAAAAACGTTGTTGTCGTGATTATGTGATTGCATAGTGATCACATGATCACCGGGTTTTTGCTTACCGGGATTCTCATTCTGCTATGTCCGGTGGACACAGCAGACGTGGAGGGGTACGGTTGCATGCCCCCCTGTGTTGGCAAAAGACCAGCGCCATTTTTTTCTGTTTATTTTTACATTGAAGCTGTGTTCAGTATTTACATATTCTTAACAAGCAGAAAGTGGGTCTTAACTGACCTCTGTAGCTGCAGGCACTGTGGAGAAATTCATCCTCAAATTTCAAATCCGAAGTGCCAAAAGTAAATCTTTCTCTTAGCAGCTCTCTGCTCCCCCATTCACAGAGCATTCGAAATTAGAAGGCTGGAAGGCTGCCAAGAGGGATCTTAAAGTGTTACTAAACCCAGGACCCTGCATTCACTATATCTTGTCTCCCACAGTACACACAAAATGGAAGTGTAATTATTTTAGTAAATATAAACTGCTAAATACCTTTTCTCATCAGCGGTTAGAGCAGTCTTGTGACTTCTTTCAGTGTCCAGCAGAGCACTGGTTAAAGCCTGTAGGAGTAGTTTTCATTCTGTTGTAGGAGGCTGCAGGACCCCGGACCTCTGTCTTGGCACTGTTGATTGGCCCTGTGCTGATCACATGCACTCTCCCAAGAAACAAAAAACCTCTCTAGCAATAGACACCAAACTGAGCATATGCACAGTGACTCCACACTGTCTTATCAGGAGATACGAGGGGAACACTGGAAGGGGAAGATTAGAGAAGACAGGATCAAAGAGCCTTTTTACACTGTGCAGAAGATTAACCCCCTAGGTTCCACAGTGAGTATAACAAGCATGCTTTACTGCATATACAGACTGATTTTACTATAGTGGATTTAGTAACACTTTTAAGAGCTTCACCTGTAAGCTTTGAAGATTAATTGGTTCATAGTGTCTGCAACTACAGAGATCAGTGTCATTTTTAAGCTTATTTAGGGCATGTAGAGAATATATGAATACTTGAGTGTCCATAGCCTGACCACAGATTCATTTGAAGTTCCTTTATATTAGTGTGTTCGTTTTTATTTTATAAGTATTAGTAATATGGTGATTGTAAGGACAACAGACCGGCCACAAATAAGCAGGCATCTCGCCATCAGGTGATAAGACCTCTGCCAGTCCTCTATTACATCACCAGAGTACTAGGACCCAACTGGAACTGGAGGTGGACAATAGGTCGATGTGACGGCACATGCTGAGTGGTTCATTTTACAAAGAAGACGAACGATCAGTATCTGCTTCCACAAAGATTTGACAACACTTACTAGCGCACTGTTGCGAATGCGTTAGCTCTTTACTTTCTAATCTCTATCAGCTGCTGAGACATTTTTGGTATTTACCTGTCTTAAATGAGCCTGTGCTTTGCTCTTGTGGGGAAACCGGTTCACATTAATGCTGGCCCCCAGCAGCTGCCTCTACTTGCTGTCCCAAAACTCCAGTTACCCAATGAGGTGTAAACAAGCAATCCCTGTGTGAGCTCCAGGTTGGAGCTTAGACAGAGATAAGGGCTCTCTCCCTGTTCCCGTGTAACTTTATTAGGTGTCTACGCAGCCAAGCAACAATGCTGTTACGTGGAAGCTTGGGGAGGAGGCAACACTATCCCCTATACCCCTGAGTACAGGGCATGTCACTTCACTTCCCTAGATGGAGCAGCTGGAAGGGCTAGCATTCATGTGAACCTGTATGCATGGGCAAAGTACATGTTGACTCTGAAGGATACCTGTACTGAGAATATGCTGTCTGCAATTGCTGAACTCTTCTACTGAAGATCCCAATTGCCTGGCTAAATGTCTTAGAATCCTTTTAAGTGGTTGTAAATGTCAGACCTGAAATATGAACAAAGCATGTCCCTCTATTGTGTATAGTCAATCCAGAGCACTAAAGTGTCATTTCTATCAGCTGCCTCCTTCCTCTGCTATGAGCATGAATCGCTTCGGATGACTTTTCCTGACATTAAAGAAATAAAGGTGACGAGGGAGGGACCTCCAGCAGATCAATAGCCTTAGCTCTATTCCTGTGTGCCTTTTTGAACGGGGTGTGTCCCTTCTGTCCAATCAGCCCTCAGAGCTCTCGTCGGTGTAGCTTAAACTCCACTCCCCCTGCTTTTCATAGCTGAGAGATCCTTTGTAAATGCTGTACTTTGGCTGTAGAGGAGAGAGGCGACAGATAAACAGGTACAACTTATGTAGGAGGATTTGCCACTTGAGGCCAGTCACTTCAGTGGGTACATGTGAGGGTTTACAATCACTTTAATTAGCTGAACCAGCAGGCAGTTCTGGCTTTCTAATCTGCATGCTTATTCCAGGACAGTGACTGGACGTACAGGAGCTAGAAGCAGCCGAGCTGGTATTCTTAGACCCCTGTAATAGCAGCTGATGTGGTTCCTACTATCTCCTCTCTGTCCCCAGAACTTTACCAGGGATGGTACAATGTGATCCCCCCAGAGCTCTTTTCCTGCTACAAATGTATTTGGCTAAAGATAATAATGACCAGTTAGGCTGAGACATGCATCAAGATGAAGCACAAAAACTGAGCAGATTGGACCCTATTCTCTATGGCTTGGCTTATGCTGGACAGTTTTTTTTTATTTTTTTTTTTAATAAGTGTACTTATTCTTTAAGGGTGCATTTACACTGATGTGTTGCGGTAACGTGTGCTAAAATGTATGTTGCTGCAATGTATGCCAAAACGCCTGCTCTATGTGTGGTGTGTTGCAGTACCATTCACCATGAAGTGCAAAGCACAGCACACTGAAGTACACAGCAATCATCCCTGTAATTTAAAACATATACCTCATGAACATTCACCTTCAGTGATTATTTGGTGAATGTCAGATTCACCATTTCCACTTTGTAAATAAATGTGTGCATGCGCTCTGCACTTACAGAACTGACTCTGTGTGCATGCTGTGTGCAGTTACGGAACTGACTCTGTGTGCATGCGC